TTTTTTTTTTTTTTTTTTTTTTTTTTTTTTTTTTTTTTTTACCAAAAACTGAATGATAAAAGTCGTCAGTCTGGTGCTTTGAGCTCAACTATCCCTTTTTTGTTTTGCATACAGATGCTTCATAATTCATTTTATTTGTTGTTTCTGTTGTTTATTTATTTTGGATATTTAAAATGTCTTCCAGTTCCCGTCTTTAAATGTTCATTAGATTTTAAAGGTTATTTAAGATCATTGAGAACGTGTTCTTGCATTATTGTGCCATTATTTCTATTGTATTACTCGAAAATGGTCTCAAAACAACAATATTACACAATATTACTGTTTATCGCAAAAACTTCTGGGACAATCGATCGATTTGTAGGCAGAACTACTCATTTGGTTCAAATTCTGAAAAACAAATCTCCTTTTAGCACCTTTTGCTATCCAGTCATTAATTAGTTAATCCAAAAAATAAAAATCAGATCAGCTCTGGACTTTATTCATGTGATTTCAAATGACAAATGATATTCGTTATTACGAATGATCAAGCATGCACTGAAGGGATGCTATGTTATTGCATTTTACACAATAAAATGTTAATTTTCTTATTTGAATTTGCATTTCTATGCATTTCTAATATTGTTTAAAAAAGTATTAAGTGGTTAAGTGAAAATTCGACACTGAAATTTATATATATATATATATATATATATATATATATATATATATATATATATATATATATATATATATATATATTTTTTATCCTATTGACTGATTAATCACCATAATAATCAATGAAATTGTAAAATTGATTGTCACACGTCTGGTGTTTCTGCCTAGTTTCTCCCGGATCATGAAGCAGACGGTCAAAGATCTGGCCCCGAGGTGCTGCGTCACCTTCCTGCTGTCTGAGGACGGCAGCGGCAAGGGAGCCGCTCTGATCACAGCGGTGGCCTGCCGCTTGAGGGAAGAGGCCAAGAGTAAAAAATAACAACATATCAGGCAGCTTGTGGCTGTCGATCCACTGCTACCATCCTCAGCGCCTCACACTCCAGCTGCTACTTCATCCATGTGTCTTCCTGAGACAGAAAGGGGAGCGTCGCCCTCTTTCTCTGCTGTGTTTGGCAGCAGATGTGATCCATTCTAGTTAAACTATATCTGTCAGCACCCGGCCTCTTTAGGGTGCAATTGCAATTTTGTGATTCCAAAGGTTGATTATAATTAATTTCAAGCATAAAACATCTGCTGAAACAAATAAATCTAATAATAAAATATTACCCGCTCCTCTGTCTCCACCTGGTGGATTCCTCTTGTTACTGCAGTCTGGCGGTTTTCCTGCAGTCGGCTTTATTTTGTTGCACATCCAGAACTTTAAGCAATTCAAACCAAAGTGGGTCTTTTTGGAGCTGTTGCTATTTTTACATGATGATTTAAAGGGATCTGACGGAGCAGAAGTATGTGTGTAGAAGGAAGGGAATATTTGTGCTTACGGTTTTAATAGCTCACCCAGACATGATGCAGTGTGTTCAGCATTGTTGTTATTTATTTTATTATGTTTAAAAATATTACTGCTGCAAATATGATGCGCACACAACTAGCCACTGGCTAATTTCCCCTCACTGTATTTTTCCTGTGCACAAAAACCTTCATGTCATGTTTCTGCTCTCTGGCTGCAGTTTATTTGTAACCCGGTGTAAACGGTTCATGCTGCTGGTGCTAATCGCAGCTGCTAGAAAAACCCGCCAGTGAGGTGCCAACACGGTGGGAAAAAAATAAATAAATAAGCTGTGCGTAAATGTAAGAAGATTTATTACATTTTGGCAACATGCATATATGGTATATAAATCTACCCCCACTTTATAAAGTAGATTTTTTTTTTCTTAGAAAAGTCTCAGGAAAGTTTTAAGGTTGTGCGACTCTTTGACATCTCTTTGATGAAAAGCGAAAAGAAATACTTGGATATTTAAAAGTGTGCATTTTTCACTATAGAAACTGTCCAGATATTTGATAAACTGTTCAAAAATCTGACCCTGTAAGTGGAGCTTTTTCTGTTTTCTGCTCTGTTGGACGAGTTTTGTTGTTTTAAAACCAGTTTCCAGTCTGTGTTCCTGTCCTGTTGTCTTTCTGCCAGCTCCTGCGAGGCATCCAGGTGTTTTTCTTACTTTGGTCTGCAAAACCCAGGCTGGACGTGTTGCACATTGTCAGTCTGACTCAATAAATTGAACCTCAATTCATCTGAAGTAGCGGTTTTCTGTTGATATTTGCTTGATCGGTTTCCATGTATTTTAATAAGATTTTTAAATTCATTGTTTTGACACAAAGGAGTGCATGATTGTAAAGAGGAAGCAAAATGGCAAACAGTTTACAATTTTTCCAAATAAAAATCTAAAAAGTGTGGCGTGCATATGTTTTACGCTCCCTTTTACTTCTGACGTCTTACCTTCAGGAATAAGCAAATAGTATTTATGTGTGGAATAAAAAACAACTCCCCTGGTTTCCATGTCACTTAAATGAAAGTGACTAACCTTTTCTGAGAAGATATTTTCACTTTCTTCCCCAGGCTGCTACCCTCAGATGTTGACTTATTATTATATTTTAATTTTGTTCAATGTCCTAGCTGTATGATTCACACTTACACTCATGAATGATGCGTGTATTAAATGAATTGTCATTATTAGCAAACATTATTGTGCATGTTGGCCACAATAATAAAAAAACATTGATGTAAAGCTCCATGAATTTTATTCAACATTCTGAAACGTCATCAAAACATAATCACAGGTCAAATATTGATATTTACATTGCTATTTTAGACATTAATAGCCTCAACAAGTAACTTTTTCTTAAAATCTGGCCATAAAAATTATATACATTTTTTTTGACTGCACCATAAATATATATCACTGACGTATGCTAATTAGATAGTTATGAGCATTGTACAGATTTTTTCCTCCACATATTTTGATGAATTTTATTTATAAAAAGCAACATCTTTGTTGATCAAAGTGATTTTTTTGCAAGGGGATTTAAAGTTTTACTGAGCTGGAGCTGCAGCAGCTGATGGGAGAAAATAGAGCTGGAAAAACGTGTTGCAACACGTTAAAGCACGTCAGTGATTATTAGGCTTACCTAAAAGTTTGGCTCCAACAGCACTCAACTTTCCCTGTGAAATCAGAAACTACAATTCTTAAAAGCAACACCAAAATGTCAAAGTTTACAGCTGGAGAGAGAGAATAAAAGTGAAATTGTCCAGAAGCATAAAGACACTTATTTTCACACAGCAACAAACTTCACAATGCCACATTTAGTCTTTTTGTCTCTTATATACAGTATTTTACAAATGTAAACAATAAATGAACGCTGTAGTTCAAAGGTCAGCATTTCACAGGAAGGTTGTCGCTTTCAGTTTGCACCATGCTTCTCCCCGTTTCACATCCAGAACAAAATCGTCCGCATCCAGTCAACGTGTCCACATTCTGTCACATTGCAGCCACAAACCTCACTGTGTCTCACTGGGACTTTACACAACAAACCAACACAAAGTCGTGCATAATTGTGACGAAAATGCCAAGAAAATGTTAACCAAACAAAAATCTGAAATGTGTGGGGTATGTATGGATCAACTTCCCTTTACTGTTAAACCCCTAAATAAAATCCGGTGCAACCTCATTAGTGACTAGAAATTATCCCTATGGACACCAACAGAATCAGTCTCTATTTGATTTACTTCTAGAGTAGATCTAGGTCTTCTATGAAGGCATCCGAGGTTTGTTAGAGAGACAAACAAGAGCGAGGAACGCAGCAAAGAGGCTAGAGATAACGATGCAGCACAGATCAAAACAAGATGGAAAAACTCATAATAATAATCTGAAACAGACACACCACACATGGCGGTTCTCCTCAACTAGGAGTCTGCAACACGCAGCTATAGATTCACATACTAATAACAACAATAGATAGATAGAATCTAGCAAGGCTTTTAAATATAAAACCAATTTTAGAAATTAGCTTTATTTCTGAAGTTTTCTATGCTTCACTTGTAATATGAGGTGACCTACAGCAGAGCCCTGTGGGACCCCAAAAACCAGGTCTGACTCACACTCCGCTAGGAATCACAATTATGCAACATTTAATGTTGATTCGTCGCAAAAAATCCCACTAAAATGCTGCAAAATGTATGGCTGTAAAGAGTCAAAATGTGAGAAACAAAGGGTGTTAATACTTTTCCAAATCCCTGCACAATGTGAGCAAGAGATTCACCAACATCATGAGGAAAAACAAGAACACCTTCATTATGTTGTTGATTTCTTTGGGCTGCCGTTTGTAAAGTTACACAGTAAAAAAAAAATTACAGCAATATTTTTGGTTAATTTAGCCTTCCATAGAGACAAAATGTGAGTGTACATTTTTTTCAGTCATATTTCCACCATGTTGGTCACATTTCTAAAAATGCCAGTGGTCCAAACTAAATATTTAATTTTAAAAATAAATATTTAGCTTAAGAACTAAATATTTACTTTAAAAACTAAAATATTTAAACCAAATATTTAAACTAAATATTTAATTTAAAACATTTAAACTAAATATTTTTAAATATTAAATATTTTAAAATAAACTTTTAGTTTGAAAACTAAATATTTTGTTTTTGAACAAAATATTTAGCTTGTGAATTAAATATTTAGTTAGGAGGATAATTATTTAGTTTGCTAATTAAATATTTAGTTCCGCACTATATATTTATTTTCCAAACTAAATATTTATTTTCAAAGCTAAACTTTTAATTTCCAAACTAAACATTTCAATTTCATATTTTTAAACTAAATCTATAGCTTGCTAATTAAATATCTCAGTTGCTAAATATTTAGCTTGTAAACTAAATATTTAGTTTGGACCTCTGACATTAATGTATGAACAACATGGTGAAAATATGATGTTGAAATAATTATATTTGTTTTCTCTGACAGGCTGAATAAATCAAAAATATTTTTAGTTTTTACTCTGTAACTTTACAAACAGCACTCAATAGACTTCCACAGCTCCTGCTCTTTCTGCTGTGTTTTCAACATGATGCTGCTCGGAGGTCAGAGGTCGTGCGCCACTGTCTTCGACGCTGGGTTTCTGGAGTCATCCTGCTTCGTAATCACATTGGAGTTTTGAATGCTGCATGGGAACTTTTTCCGCTGTAAGCAAGCGTCTTTCTCTGAGTTTGCGTTGCATGCTTTGATGGAGGCGTGCGTGTTTGAGGTGTCACTGCGGCGGCTGCGCGTCACCGTGACTCTGAAGGTGTGCGTGTACTGCAGCTCCATCTTGTCTTCCTCTGACACTTTGACGAAGGGACACCAAGCGAAAGCGTGACGGAAACCGGCCCGAAACCTGAAGAAAGGAGAGGAAAATGTTTCCAAAAGCTCGTACTGTTAGCGTAAAATGGCTAAAATATTTAGAAATTCTACCTTTGGTTCAAACAGCAGTAAATAATTGGATTATACATAGTCGAACTCATCGCCAACCAGAAAATAGAAAGATACACCTGACAAAGAGACGGCAAGAGATGAGTTGTTGTTATATGATGAAATAATTAACTCACATTAAACAGAAAATCTGCAACTAACCTGCTGAATGTAATGTTGTTTATAAATGTCTCTGTTAAATGACCCCAGAATAAAGTAAACATGGTAAGGCAGCCAGCAGAGGGCAAAAGTCACCACCACAACCACCATCATCTTCACCACCTGCAGCACGGAAAGTTACAGATGCAGAACAAATGAATGAGGCATCAGCTTAAAATCAGATAAAAAAGACCAAGAGTCAAAGAATGGAAGCAGGCTGACCTTTCTCTTGGCTGTAATCTGGCTGTGGTAATGCTCGGTCGCCTCTCCGGGGATGTGTCCGCCCCACAGTGAGCGACCCACTAAACTGTAGGTCACCAACATGACCAGCAGGGGGAGCAAGTAGATCAGCAATATCACCGCAAACTGGTAACTGGACACAGAGACAGAGCTGCGTTACGGTGTTACGTCAATCCGCGTTTCCCCATCAGATACGGTTCCCCGTTTCCCCATCAGATACGGTTCCCCCTTCGTCTTCTTGCCGCTCCGCCCCGCCCACGCGGCAAAATAGGCGCGTGCTCGTGATGAGCACTGAGAAAGCACGCGCGTGGCAAGCACGCGCTTGTTCGGCGCGCTTGTCTGAGGAACTACGGACACCGTGAAAGCTCAAACAACATGTTTCGGCAAAGTTGTCACACTTTCTTCACGTTTTTGCGGGAAACTAATAGTAATAATACTAATAATTATAATAAATATAATAAATATATATGTTATACATATTATGATTATAATAAATAATATATATTTTATATATATTATAATTATAATACATAATATATGTTATTTATATATACATATATATATAATAACTATAATACATAATATATGTTATAGTTATAATTATCATATATATATATATATATAACATATATTATGTATTATAATTATAATATATATATATATATATAACATATATTATGTATT